GCGCGAAGTGGCACTTTGTGCTTGCGTTACACATTTTATTTTTCCTTTATTTACTATAAATCATATAAATAACTAGTATTTCAAACACAAAACTACACGTTTTAGGTTAGGTCGAATCCAAGCGTTTATGAAAATAGAAGTTAACACGAATCAACAGGTTAAGTCGTAGTATGAAAATTGAAAATGCTGCACTAGCTGATTGCAATCATAGTATCCTTAAGGTTGCCAAATTATTTCTAAACGTAGCCGTATTACGTGCCTAATAAAATCACACTGTTTTGTGTCGTTTGGTTGAAATAATGGAGTGCGGTCAAAAAATGAGTGCGTAAAAAGTAAATAAGTGCAGCAATTAGCTACTTTACGTCCTATAATCACTGCAAGGCTTTGTCAGGTAACTGTAGGGAAAATAAATTGTTTATTTGTGAAATTATAAAGCCAAAAAAGTCTAAAAATATGTTTCTTCTACGTTTATAATCAATTTTATGGTACTAATTTTTTTGTGTTTGGCAAGGTTTACTGTTTTGGAGTACAACAGTTCCACAGAAAATCACAATAAATGTAGTTTTTTTTTTTTTTTTTTTTTTTTTTTTTTTTTTTTTTTTTTTTTTTTTTTATTAGATTGATTTACATCAACAACCTTATTAATTATAAATTAAGTTGAAATTGCATTATGATATATTCTAAAAGATTTACAAAAAAAAACTTTCTTTTTAAACAATTAAAAAACTGAAGTGTCAAACATTGTGGTATTGCAAACGCACACACACAGTGGCAGTGCAAAGGAATTAATTTTTCTGAGTTGATTAACGTTGCATTCAATAAAATTGCTTTCTGTAGCTATGAAATCATTTAACTGTGTTTATGTTAGAATATCGTGCCCACTTGAAGGTTTCAGGAAGACACAGTCCTCGGAGCGTGCTATACAGCTAATGTTCACTATAAACTCTAGGTAGAATGTTTATACTCTGACGTCCTGGGCTGATGTCCTTAAACCACGAATGTGTTGAAAATGTCCTTTACCTACGACTGTTTTTTAAAGTAGCCATTTCAGTTCAGTTCTTAGAATTGAAAAGTTTCTCATAACAACATTGTTTACTTTCATAACAGCATGGTTTATGGGTAACGGACCAATGAGGTTGAAGGATTGAGAGAGAAGAAGTAAAATGTAATGATTCGACCTTTAACTAATCAGCTGTTCAGACCAATTTAATTGTTGAGTGGTGCAATTAGTGTTTGGTACAATGTTTCGTTGCATCACTGTCAGTGGCAATGAGAGCATAGATGAAGTAATATCTTCATCTATGATTAGAAGTTATTAACGATAACATAACCTCTCTAAGAAGTTATGAGTAGTGCTTTTAGTAATAAAAACACTGTCATAGGTAAAGTAGTGTACGCAACTCGCGTGAATAGTGTTAACGACACTCGTAGAAGTTTGTAAGGACTATTGATAAATTTGGGATTGAATTGATTTCAGTACTAAATTAATTATCTTATTATGCTACAATTTTAGTTTTGATAACATTTTTTTTTTTGTTTATCTGATAATTTTACTGACTATAATGAGGTTTCTGCTAGCAAAGAAGAAAGAACAAAAAATGTATCAGAGAGAATTTGTGTTGCATTAAAGTTCAATACAATTGAATGTTGCCTAGTAATAAAAGAGACCAGGTCTTATCCTTCTTTAATCATACAAATATTATAAATGTGAAAGTTTGTGTGTTTGTTTGTTTGTTTGAAGTTCAATCACGCATTAACTACTGGTCGGATTGTGTTGAAATTTGGTATGATGATAGCTAACATTCCCGATTAACATATAGACATATTCTTACCTCAAAAATCCTTTCGGGCTCCGCCCCAGCGGCTCTAGAGTTTCCCATGTTAACCTTATGAGTATTCATATTTAAAAGGAATTAAATAATTTTGCCAGCTGTTTCAACTACACAATTTGTTTCTATGATATTCAATAGCATTAAAAGATTATACGGTTTACCAACAGGGTGCAGCACCATAAGTTCTTTATACCTTTATGACAACAGCTAATTTGAACCAAGCCGCAACAAAAACCTGAGTGTGAGAACTTTACTTCTTTCTATTGTTTGGTGAAGTGGTAGAACATGATGGCTATGGTAGATATTCTATAAACTATAGTATACCGTAGATTATAGTAAACAAAATTTTCTCAAAACGTGTCCTCTCTCATTGCAAATGCAAAGCACGAGTATTTAACTACAATAAGCATTGTATTACCAACCCCGTACGAAGGACGGGTACTCAGCTAGTTTATAATAATTTTCAAAATTAAATGTTGATTTTGGTTTTAAAAACTTCTCATTTATGACTAACACAGTAAGATAATACTTGTGCATTTAGGGTTCGTGCTTTGCTAACCTTAAATACCTAAACAGTATTCAAAAAGGCAACTGAAAGAACATGATAGACATCTTAAATTTAATTCAACTGTGAACATTTCAGTGTACACTTACAACACACAAAAGTCTTCAAGTAATTTTCTTAGCGATAATACAAAAATAGTAAACTGTATATATTACACATACACATCTTGAACAAATATAAACATTATAGAAACATTACAAAAAATCGTGTAATTCTTGTAGTATTAGAGTTAAATAATCTTACATGTGGTGAATATTAACTGAATAATAAAGAATATCGTAAACCAATCCAACTGGCTATCATTAAATTTGAATAGTCGTGAACAATTATTGCATTTATAATTAATGCTGAAATCAACGAGATACAGTTGGTGTTTTAAATGTAAAGTATGAAAGTTGACTTCAAATAACGTCAATGACAAAGTGTAGACAAAATCATTCAGTCTTAAAAATACAGAATTCGTTGTTATCGTTGGATTAAATATAGTTCATTTTGTAAAAATATATTTATATTACATGTATTTTTTGCGTAAATGAGTTAAAAAGTTAAATCATCCACTGAACATTGCAGTCAACAGTTGATCAATAATTAGTAAATAGACTATATGAGTGTTTTTAAAATATTAAAATAACAATTTCTGTAAAAGCTTAAACTATACATATTAACTTTTATGATTCTTAAAAACGTTGTCATTTTCTAGTTGCTGTATTAAGATTAGGATTTAGTTAATAACCAGGGGAGGGTAATTTTCTTTTGGCAAATTTCAAATTGTTTTCAAATTAAAGTGATCGATTAAAAAGCAGCCTTATGTGTACATACACAATGAAATGTATACTTAAATGCAACTTAGCTATGAATACAGTACACTCTCTCGTCACAGTAAAAAAATATTCTTTAATGGATGTTGTATTGCGTTATCTACACTCATCCGGAGTAGATCCGTCAGTCGCTCTGCCGGCGTCCGTCAGGCAAGATTAGATTTCTTTCCAACGAAATTTTTCGATCGCTCGGAAGCCTGACGGACGTATTTGAGACTAGAAAATATTGCTTTTGTTATTAAAATTATTGTTTTATATTTTGAGTATATACTGTTTGTAAGAATCAACAAGATGCACGATGAAAATTTGATAGAATATAGGGTTTTAATTTTAAAAAAATTTACTGTAACATCACTCTAAATATTCGAGACGGAAGACTGACTGAAACCAACTGACGGAAAGTTGAGTGAGGAATTGCGGATGTAACTGAGACTCGACTGTAACGGAACTGTGACTAGACTGATATTTATGAATTGACCTTAAACCGATGTCCAGTCAAAAGTTTTCCGGATAAGAGAGAGTCTACTATAAAATAATAAGACCAGAACCACTTTGCTCCGATTTTGTCGTTCTATTCAGCAGAAAGTAGTGCAACCAGTAATTTGTATAAGAACTGTACTACTTATTATTTAACACCTGTTTACTGACAAGTATTGAACTTCCTATCAAAGAACGTCTCGTCTGTTGATATCTTGTAGGGAATAAACTAACAATTTATGCAGAGAAGTTTTCTTTTTCGAGAGTCAAAGAACATATATTAACAAAACATCTGAACTTTGAACAGGTTGGTTCGTTTGACGGATTCCTGTAACCACCGTGTTTGTGTTTGAAACTCAAAAAAATATTGGAATTCAATCAGTTGGCACATTTTAAGTGGTATTTTATAAGCTCTTTGGTTTCGATACACACGTACAGTATTAATCATAAAAGAACGCTTTTGACGAATTTTAAATCAGATGATTTGAAATTCATACATATGAATAGTAATGGTTTGCATAAAAACTTATTTTAGTGATATAAATTACAGTCATACCTTACTAATTATCAAAAATCAAAAATGTATAAAGATACAACATACTTCCAAAATACGATTCTATTTTAAAACTTATTAGTTTGGTATTTACATGAGAAGCAAAGATACATTCAGAGAAAACGTTGGAAGCTTAACACCACAGAGGTTCGTGTTAATGCGAATGTTGAAAAGAGATCTGAGTACAAAATCACTTATTAACACAGAGTTTCAGCCTTTTTCTGTTTGTGCTTCGCAAAACGCTCATCAGCGTCCTCACATTCGTTGATAACTATTCTTGGCAATCGTTTGCAAATAAACTTCACAGAATGTCCTGATTTCGGAGACGAGTCTCCCAAGTTAATTTCACTGTTATTTACACGCGAAACATGTTCCACCTGGGTAACTGTCACTCCGGAACTTGGTTCCGCAACTGCAACGGTTGTCACTGGACTTATGAGAACACCCTGAACTGGTCCACTGGGCGGCGGTCTTTCCAGGTGACCCGGTACAAGAAGGAATCGTCGTCGACAGGATCGTAGCAGCCGCTGCTAAACACGCTCCTCCGTCTCTAGCACAACTACTTCTGGAACACAAAACTCACGATGTACACTTTGGAACATGTATTACTGGTAGGACTCTTGGGGAAATGTAATCAATTCAAATGTGAAAACCACGCACTGGGAAACTCAATGAATTAATTAAGGATGACAAATGTTAATTTGAAATTATTTAATAGGTATTTGTAAATAATAAATAATTGTCACGAAACATAATTTGGACGTATAAAAACCCCAGAGACAACAGCGGGGAGGGAAAGATAGCTTAAAGATGAGACGGCAAATTCCCCCTTTTACATCCGGTTCGGTCATACTTTATACTTTTATACTTTTCATTGAAATGGTGACAAAGTGGGTATCTTAAGCCAAGATGGAGATGAGTGTAGGATGAGTGGTGCAATCTTGTAGTAGTGACTAAGGCCGACATTCCTTAGACACAGCTGGTAATTAATAGAACATACGACTAATGGCAACTAAGGGACCGACAATTTATAGTGGAATCCGAACCGTATTTTTGCCTTGGTATATACGAATTGGTCTAATTATCAGTATAGTACTGTGGATAGTCGTAGTACTCACTCGTGCGGACGTTAATCCACACCAGGGAGTATCGCATCCACAGTGCATGCCTATAAATATCCACAATTCGTGACCTCCTAGTAGCTGGATTACATGACGACGACACCCGTCCCAGTCAAAAGGAAAGTTGACACATCTTTTCATCAGAAATATCAAGCCGCACATTCAATGCTGCCCCCAAAAAAATCGAACGTAACAATGGTGGTGTTGAATACCCTACGACACTCAACAAAAAATTAATTAAATTGCAAGATAATGGAGCTGATGGAGTTTTATCACAATATTTTGCCTAATCACCGATAGCAGTGTCTATGGTAAACATTTTCTGTGTTCTGGAATAGTATTTAGAATCTACAACCTTAATAAATCCCAAATCGTCACACAAATAACCTAAATGATTAATTGACATCGAAGTAACATTTATCATTGGTCGTAAGGGCTAGGCTGTGGAAATGTCACCCAAATTCAATAAAGTTCCAACCTTTTTGGGAGTACATCCAAACTGAATAACCTTTATATCAACAAAAGTAGCCACATGATTGCTATGTAAACGCTGTAGCAAGGTTAAAAATTAAATTAAAGTAGTTGAAACAACTAACCGACAGAGTGCACTGCTGTCAAATATTGATTTTGTGTCGAATACCCAACTTTTCAACCAATGGAAACCTGAATGGAGAACTTATTGTATGGTATCTGCTAGTAACGTTTTATTTGAACATGGAAATGGCTTGAGGCCATATAGATGGGATGTCTACTACGGCATCCAAAAGACAACTATAAGACTTACAGAAAAAATATTTGAATTCACTATCTTTTTTAATTGTGTCGGATCGAAACTAACAATTAATTATTAGCACTGTATCAGTATAGTGATTCATATGTTGCACTATCCAAAAGATCCTTGTGTCTGCATTACAGAATATAATGCTGAATATACAGAATACATAGTTAAATATCTTTACATCGTATGGATTATTTTTAAAACTATAATTACTCTAAAGACTGAAACTAATAAGAATACAATTCCAATATTGGGAGTACAATACTTGACATCGTAACAATCCAGCCATCCTGAGACATAATCTAGAGCTATAGTAAAAAAAAACACAGTTGCAAGTGCAAGGTTTTACTCTTTTACTCTCTGCCAAAATACATTGTGGCCAAAAATAATGCCAAGATCTTCAAAAAGAAAATGAAGGTGTATTAAAAAAATAATATTATTCTCTAAGTTATTGACGCCATTCTGTATTCAACTTTGTTATAAATCATGAATAAGTTATTTCTGATTTTGATTTGTATTAAGAAAACAAAATAGTAATCCATTTCTACATTATTACTTCGTTGACGAATCATTCTACAATCTGTCACAGTCTCGTTAAGAACGATATATCATCAGCTACACCTCCCAAGTGACCTTTTTACTCTGTAAACATGCCTATGATTAAAGGCACATACCAGATCTGCACCCCCGCCCCATGTAGATGGTAGAGTCGTTACCGGACAGTTCTGAGTTGTTTGGTCCAACAGTTCCACATCCCTCGCCGAGCCTGTCCAGGGGACACCCGTTAGCGTCTACTGGGGCCTTGACCCCACAACATCTGTTGGGAAAAAGCATCATTCTAGCGAGTAAAATACGTATTTGCATACATAGTAATTGAGTTTAGCTTAAAATTAGAACCGTTATAAATTAACAAAATATCTTAGATGTATGAGGGGAAATATTGTTTTGACACACAATTGGTGGTAGTTCGAACAGATTGGTTAGGTAAGAGGAATAATGAGAACAAATCTTAAGCCAGAAATACAACATGATTTCGGTCGTTTAATAATGGTTGTCATATTGTTTGAGACCATTAATGGCTTGTATAGCTAAATAGTATGAATTGTAAATTAGTATTGTATAGAAATAAATAAAGACACAAATATTGCTTGGAGTGTGAAAAGAACGAAAAGAAAAGGTAACAAATGGATTGGCTGGTTTGAAAGAGAAAGCTAGAAAATGAATTACCACACTAACATTCAAAATAACAATTGTTCAATGTTTATTGTTTTCATTGCAGATGAAATATCATTAATTACATGTCCAATTAATTCCAATTAATAACCTTTTATCCATTATGATAAACGTATTAGCTTACTAGGTTATCAGGGTATCAGGGTATGCCGTCTGTACACTAATTATCGAATGGTACTGTAAATAATATTAAATGTTAATTTAATTCTATTAATAAGTATGTTTGATTAACATAAATAAGTTATGCAGGACATTACTTGTAAATGAAACTGTAAATTTTATATAAGTGATGTAAAATGTAGAAAAATACAGCATAACCTAAATAAAAATACAAAGATGGACAGAAAATTTCAGTTAACTTTTTATAACTGAAATTACTCTTTTGGCCGAGCAAGAGTGCACGCACACCTAGTATTACTAGCGATATATGCAAAGAAAATATACTTTTCATCACTCTGTATTCGAAAACAGCCCATTTTCATACAGCTTATATCTTCGAAAATAGTCAATTTCCATACACCAAAAACCAATTGTGATTAGCTGACTTTTTCTGAAATAAACATTACTTTAGCTACACAAACAATACTTTGCCTGACATCAGCAAAGTCACATGTAAAGAAACCATTATTGTTTATTTAATTGTTTTGGCAGTTTTTTGATGTCCAATCAGCTGAATTTTACACTAATATTAATTGTCGTATTGTGTTTAGATTAGAAAAATGAATAGATTACGAAATATCAGATAATCTTTTTAAGTTTGGTGAAGTCGTTTTTTCATCTTGATCAAAAGTATCGTTCAATACTCTTCAAGAAAGTCCTATTTCGGGGTTAGTTAGTGTTTTAGATGCGAGTCGACTTGTAGTGAAATATGCTATTGCACTTAGGCAAGTATACGTTGTGGTTTAATCGTTTTGAAGCGTTCGGAACATGAGTTTGGACCGCTATCATAAAAAGCGTTACCTTCAATGTATCTTCTACATCATTCCCCTGGCATAGAAAATCAAGAAATAAGTGTAGGCATGCAATCTGGTTTGTTTCACAAAGGTTTGCTACACATGTTTATTTTTACTGTGACCAACTACTGTATAATGTTGTTTACAAAGCCTTTAAATATCAACAAGAATTGAAGGTTTTTAAACCTACAATTTATACTACCACAAGAATAAGTGCTCAGCCAACACGTATAATGGTTTCAGTGCGCAAGTACTCCATCTGCGATACATTATTGACCACATTCTGACCAAGAAAGAATCGTGTTGCTGCTACCAATAAATCAAGGTAAGACAAAACACCTGTTTCCTTCACTTTCATGGCTTTGTTTCTATCTTAGAAACTTTAACAGTGGAATATATTATATAATTATTGAGATATAAAAAAAAATAATTTGCAATAAAACTAAAATAAAACATTTCTACCTACACAACGAAGTTTAAAACCCTATAAATCTATAAAATATTAAGTATTAAAAATGTAATAAATGAATTTGATTTTATGCATTATGAAAATCATCCGCCAAACATGTAATTTACATCAAAGTACAACTAACTAATTCATCGCAACATATTATAACGATACAAACATCAATAACAATTATATCTTGCATCAGTGAAATCTAATTACACGAAACTATATAATGCACTTGTCAAGTAATTAAACTCTGCGGTATTTATTAATTGAATTTCTATGCAATTTCAGTACTTTTCAAGTTACAAGAATCTTAAACCAGGTCGATCATTAACTATAATTGTGCAGAAATTGTTATATGACGTAACATAATAAATTCATGTAATTATCCAGCATATTTGGTGGAAATGGAAATAACTATAAATTTCCTAATATCACGACGCGATTCATTTTACCATTAGAAAGGCTTATAACATTTCATGGGCAGTAGAAAACAATGTTTCATCATATTTTACTGCAAATGTCAACATTATATGGTTACAAACGCCAAGTTTTTTGTCTAGTTTGGCAGGCCTCCAAAAATCTTTTTAACATAGGATCTTTAACCAGAAAGAAAAAAAATGTAAACTTTTGTAAGGATAAAATGTTAGTTAAATTTCAAAATATTAATTTTAATACATTCAGAATTAATTTGTTTTAATTTGTTGTTTTAAAACTTGTCATGCAACACACAATGTGTTTGAGTTTAAGAAACACATTTTTCACAGTTCATTTCATTTGTACAACTTACCCTCTCCATTTGTACCAGTTGAAAATGGCAAGGAAGGCTTGTCGGAACTTCCGGTTCATGAAGCAGTAAGTGATGGGGTTGCAACAGGAGCTGATGTAAGCCAACAGCTGTACTAGCGAAACGCCTGTGCTGCCGACGTACTTGTACACAGTCTCTGGGTAAAACAGGTACCATGTGTTGAGAACATGTAGGGGCGCCCAGCAGACGAAAAACTCTGCCACCACCACGAACAGCATACGAATCACCTGCAGAGTTAAATGTCGAGTTAGGAACATTTGAATAACCTGTAAACATAAGGTTGGGGATCGAGCTATTGGTAGAGCGCGGGACTTTGGTCTCCAAGACACCGGGTTCAAATCCCACCAATTACCATTGGACTTTGTATAAGTGATAATGCCACGGCCTTTAGACATACCTTTAAATAGGCCCCTCTAGACTGATCCCCTTTTGGACCGTGGGGGAACGAGCTGGTCTATTGGTTAGAACGCGGGTTCAAATCCCACCAAATCACCTATGGATTTTATCTAATTGGAAATGCCGCAAACACAAGATCTAGCCTGAAGTAATGTGAAAAACAAGCCCAGGCTCGTGCCTAGAGACAAAAAGTCTGGAATAATGTGGAAAGTAATAAAAAATACAAACAAAAAAACAGCACAGTTTGGAGTCAACAACAATTTAGAGTCAAAAAACATTAGCAGGATTACCCGTAAAAATAGGTTTAGTTAAAAATTACATCATATAACCGTGACTAAAAGAGTTCAGTTAAAAAAAACCACAACAATATGCAAAAAAAAATCCCTCTAAGAACAACATTCCAGCAAAATTACATACAAAAAAGTTAAACCACAGCAAACAAACCCCACTTTACTACCAATACATGTTGGGGCGTTTTTCCAAAATCTACAATTAACGAGTATTAGTCTGCAAAAGAGGTTTATGTTTCAACATTAAAAATTCATATGATAAAAAGTCTAATTATTTCTCCACGTCTGAAATAGCAAGCAATCATTCAACCTGCTAACAATTCACCTTTTTCTTAGCCTCGATGCTCTTGTCCATGTAGTTGGACCGGATGGCGTGTCTACTGAATGTGTAAGTGGTCTCGTCGTCATCCCCAGTGCTGGTAGGGGTAGGTTCGACCACGGGGGTCGTCACTGTGCTGGTGACTAGAGGAACAGCTACCGGCGACCGCGGGGATCTCTGCAGCGCCTTCGGTACTCTCAACTGGAGAAGTGTATAAGATATTCAAAATTTAATTTTATTCAAAAAAATTTTGTATTAACTTTGTTTGCTCCATCACTATAACATATTGATGATCCTCTTAAAACCTCACAGAAAATGTAATCGAACAAAAATGAATACTTTGAGTTCCTTGAACAGGCATTGACATATATTATTATGTTGGATAAAAAATTAAATCACTGATCAAACCTTAGAATATTTTTAGCATTACTATGACCACCATTTCCTGCTTATAAGATTTTTTGTTCTTTCAAGTACGATATATGGAAAGTGAGATTAAATCATCGACTGGCGTTTAAACAGGCTCATTGTATGGATTTCTCAATTTTAAACACCTTTCAACATTTTTATATAGCTTCAAAATAGGATGATTGATGACTCTTGTAATGCAGTATTGGTAATTCCCTATGGTTTCAGAGAGAAGAGTGTTGGTATTTGTCATATTCCCGATGGGACATTGATGAACTTACAAAGTTAATAAAAAAAAAAAAAACAGTTTGCTCAGAATGTGAAGTTAAAAGAAGAACTAACTTAATAACACATACCATGCCACAAAAAAAAATTAAAAGTAAATTCGTGAAACTTAAATAATTAGAATTTTAGCTAGATCAATGTCTCTGTCAAGGACTTGTTTTGTCTACCATCATTAATGCACTGACAGCACAAGCCTTGAGGACAAAAAATCTAGCTTTTAAGTGTTGTTCTAAAATGTTAATGGTTGGATAAGGGGAGTGAGCTGGTCTAGTGGTAGAGCACAGGACTTCGGTCCCCAAGGCCCCTGGCTTACACCCTGCTAATGACCTATGGGTGATGTTGAGAACCTGCCATGATATGTAAGTGATACCTTGCCTGAGGTAATGTCTGGAAAATAAGGTACTTTGGTATTGTACCGACCACACCTAAATGGGTTACCATTAGGGTTAGGCTAGGTTACCTTCCGGTTATCTTATCCTAACCAAACCTAGGTGTGGGAACCTAACCCAATTTAGGTGTGGTCGGGATAATACCAAAGTACCGAAAATAATCCCGGACCAGTGCCTAAAGTATAAAAGAACTTTCATGTACTGATCCGTACCTTGAAGAGCCATAGGTTGAGCGTGGCGGCGTACGCATCTGTAGACGTGACTTGGAACTGCGCTGCAGATCTTGGCAAAGGCGGCGGCAACAACCTGTGTTGTCGCAGACCTGTCGTGTTGTTGTTGATTACTACAGCGTCATTCATGGTGGCAGAACTGCTGGTTCTCTCCACTGTAAACACAACAACTCTATAAGTTTAAAAGGATAAAACAGATCACAGATCCTAAAAATGTGGTTTTAGTGCTCTCTTGACAACCCTAAGGATGATATTTGGCTTCAAAAGCTCAGTGGCTTAGCTCTTGGGTTTAACTCTAAGCCCAGGTGTTCTTCATTGTTGAATTTTAAGTAAATTTTCCTGGCTGAAGAATCCAAATTTGTTTGGTAGTACTACCAAAGCTACATAGAATATCACATAAGGTTCTAAATCCACCCTTCGTTTATATTCAGTTAAAAATACATCCTATAAACTATTCCATTTGACGTTTACTGTGCAGTGTGATACGTATAAACCGTACCATGTAATTTAAACGCCATTTTCATAACTACCACTAGCCGCCCTTAAAACCTTGACACGCTTACACCTTTTACTTTTTTCCACTTTTCTTGTGACCATCCTCGTTATAACTTAAATGTACTTAGCACTTCAAATAAGCCTGTGACAACAGTTTACGTATAATACAATCACAATTTTCAACAAGAGAATTTTTGTTATACTAATACTCCCTTCAATGCAAGCAGTACTTAGCTTTGAAAGTGGAATAATCTTAAATGATCGTAAACATTATTTTTAGATCGTGTATAATCATACTCACGTCGTCGACGACAGGAAGAGTTGTGTTTAATCTCTCTCTGCAGCCCCTTCCACAGTTTGGACACTATGAGGGAGTAGGCGAGGGTCATGATGACCAGGGGGATGAGCAGAAGGATCATGTCCAGGAAGATGTTGAATACCCTCTCACTAGCGGGGGACGGCCAGTCTTCGCGACACTTGTGTCTCCCGGCTAACAAACAGACAAGACTTATGGTGAGTACATACTGGAGGTATATCATTAATATTATTTCAAGAGATAATTGTTTGGCCACCCTAGTGTTTGTAATTGTTCGCGTGGTATCGAGGAGTTTATTTTCCAGTGCATCAATACATCTATACTAAGCGTTGTGTCCGAGTAGATGTCTCTTTAGGCTGACGAAGGATTTAAAGGGCCTTCAGTAAAGGAGCCATAACAGTATACAATAAGTTGTCAAACGTTATCTTACATCTCGGGAAGGGAACTCCCTTAGATACTCAAAGCGTATATTGAATTCAAAGCCTCCTTCTCCCTGAACAAGTACTTATATCCTAGGGCGTGTGTCCTAGGGCTACTGTTTCTTTGCGCATTTGCTGATGCATTTATGCAAGAGTGTGTAAATGTGTTTTTTTTTGTTTTTTTTTTTTTTTTTTGTTAAATTTGCAGGTTTTTTCGTCTTTTTTATGAAAAATGTACTTAATTTGTTAGTATGTTTATGACTAGTTAGATTAAGTAATCCCATTGTATTACATTATTAGTTCTATTTATTTATGAACGTCAGGTTAAGTGTAAGAAAGGGCCGTTTAGCCCCTGGTTTGGCCCTAACTTTGCCTAAAAAAAAAATTTTTCATTTCATTTTATATGGCCCACTAGTAGGTCTAGGCTGAAGTACAGCCTCAGTTTTAATTATATGTTTATTCAAATCCATAATATATGTATAGTCAAGTGTTTTTGTGACTACGCCATCGAGATGGAGAATTAATAATAAGGTAAAATGAATTGGATGGATATATACAATATTTCCTGAAGGTAGAAGGTTTTACATGCTCCAAAGTAGAGTGCAGATATTTCAATCACTAATGATTGGACCACAAATTGCTTAAACAATAGGGAATATCGTTTATCAAGATCATTTCTAATTGGGGCACCATCTAAAATCGTAGTAATCTATTCTGTTTCAACATATATTACAAATGTAATGTATAATGACTAACTTAAATAAGCCTATGCCAACTGTGAATGACAAAAAACTATCTTTTTTCTATATTTATACACATAATATGCAAGTTGATCACATAGGTACAGTAAAAGTTACGTTTTACAATTCCAAAATACATCACCTACACATTTTCTATAATATCAAATAAACCTACAGCAAAAGTTTAAAATATAATTAATTACAGTATCCAAACTAATCTTTGACATTCTACAAGTTATTGCATTACGACAATGAAGGCTTTACGTAAGCTTAAGCCGAACTTGGATAATCAGCTTTTAACTTATGTAATTACTTCATCATACAAAGGGTAACACCGACACTGCACTTGAGGGTAAAGTTCAGTCATTTTTTTCTCAAAGCTACACACATCTATAAACACTTTGGGGAAATGATTGGTTGGAAATGTATCTTTAACGGTAAAACCTACCTCGCATCGCTTGAAGCCTCGAAACTAGCAGGATCGGCATGTTCCACGCCAGGCTCGACATCCAAACTACCGCGATCATCTTGTACGCGTGGAACTGGGTCTGCCATCGTCGAGACTTGAGTGGGCGACAAATGGCGAAGTACCTCTCCAGGGAGATGGCCACAAGTGTCCACACTCCTACTGACACCGACACTGCTAAAATCATACAAGATGGTTTAACTACTAAGCCATAGACAAATCTTTTGTATTATGAGTTAACTAAACAAGTTGAGTGAGCGTTGGTCCATGGAGCGCAGGGCTTCAGTTTTCAAGGTCCTTGGATAAGTATAAAATTACATATGTTGTTTAGCTAAAATAAAACGTCTTTATTCAGGAGGGATTTTAATCAACGCTGGTGTTTTTCAACGATATTTCAAAATTTTCTTCCAACGATATTTTTAGGAATATTTATTGAATATTCTTAAGGAGTAGCGACTTGATGGCATCAATAATTCAACGGGATGTCTCCTTTTATTACCTTTTATATCTCCGACCTTTACTTAAATTTAACTACTTATTTAAATAATTAGAACCAAAAAAAGATAATTCACTGACTTAGCCTATATCAATATGTATAAAGTATAAAATGAATTATTCGTGGCATCTAAAGTTTTTAACATGAGGTTGAGCATAACAATATTAATGAGAAAGTCAACTAACCTTGGAAATATGGAATCAGTTTGCACATTGTGCTTCCGAATATGAAGTTTCTCAGAACCTGGCCCACCAGTGTGAAAGGCATACAGAACACTCCTAAAAGTAGGTCGGATACCGCCTGCAACATCATAAAATCTATTTTAAAGTCAACTATTAAAAACTAATGACAATTCAAAGTCATAATATTGTAATTTTTCATAGAGCTAGTGAGACCTCACTTATCTCGACATAATTTAATTTGTGTTTTATTATACATTGAAATTAATTTAAAACATTGATACAATGTAAATGAGTAAAAACAAAATACAATATTTGTAGGATTAGGACATTCCGGCTAAGCAAGAAAAGTATTTGAATTCATCCGGTGACGATTCCAGTTTGAGTAGACGACTAGTGGTAGACCTACTTCAAAAGTCACTCTGAACATCTCACACAACCTAGTCCAAAAAATAAATTTGAGTAAATATCAATCAAAAACTGATTTCAAAATAGTTTTTGATCTTTTTCGACACCAGTGTAGATAACTACAAAACAATGGTATTTTTCAGAAGAGGGCCACCGCTATTTAAACTGTGGAAACCTCATAGTTTAGGCTGGATTTTTTGAGTTTTTTTTATCATTCCTATTTCATATATAAAAAAAACACTTGTGGGTGCTATAAACTAACCTAACCTAAACCACAGTTTAAAAAGTGGCGGCCCCTCTTCAGAAAAAGACCCCAAAACAAATTTCGTAGACTTCCCAAAGATACCAAAATGAGCCTGAATTGTACCACATTTTCAAACACACCAGTACTCACTAGATTGAGCAGGTAGACGTTGGTGACGGTTCTCATCCGTTTGTTCCGTACCAAGGTGACCACGACTAGGGCGTTCCCCACGACTGCTAGCAGGAAGATCACGACGTACATGGGCACTATAGCATCGCTGATGCCCGTACTGCCCGTCGCTGCCCTCCTGGCTACCGTAGGCGCTGCACTGCTCGACTCGTTCACCCAATACAAGGTTATGTTCACCAGATCCGTGTTCACCAGAATGTAGGCATGCGTGGCAGCCTCTTCAGTCATGTTTTTATCTTCGCCGCATGATTTAAGGCTTTCTTTCCGTGGCTCACTCAAACTTCACTTAATTTGCACAAGTAATTTGGTGTTGCTGTCGATTGGTGAGGTGGTGTGAACCTGTAATGAGAAACATTAGTTACGGATTTATACAAAATTCTCGTTACTTATGATCTATAGGTCATACTTAATGAAATTGTGTACGTTTCGTTGAGTCAGGCACTGTTAACGCAGCAAATATTGTAGAATTACCTAGATACAGGTATTTAAAAAGTACCTGTATATTTTACATTGTATAAAACCAACTATACGGTAGCTAACCAATTCAATAAATTTTATAATGGTATAACAGAAAATACCATCATATAACTTATGTAAAATTATTGGAAAATGCAGCACAAGCAGTTGTGAACAGATAATTTGTCCATGTTACACATTTTTACACTAATATTTTTGAAGGTTTTTTTTCAAATAATAAATAGGCTTGCTTGGCTACATTTTGTATCTCAGTTGGATGTAAAATTAGTTAAAATGATAACCAAATGTGTGTATTATAACCAGTTTTCATGGTACATTAATATATTTTAACCATGTTTAAGTTGTACAGCAAATAAAATTATAACACACAAAAATAATTTGTTTTGTAATTGTAACAACTAACTGTTTATTTATGAATGACAGTGAAGTCCATTTTCCTCCTAGAAGTAGACTACAGTTAAAAGAATTGAAAAAATCTGACACAAAAAAGAGGAACTGACTACCTCTTTAGGAGTTTCAAACTTGGGACAAGCAAAGTTTCAAGTCTAATTTCCAGTCCAGTTTATTGTATGTTGTTACTCTAAACTTTGTCACAAAAACTTACCAAATACAATTTCTCGATCTTCAATAAACCTCTCAGCTCTAAATAATTGAAATAGAAGTTATTTATGTTGAATTTACCCTACTACATTCGAGTTATATATTTATTATACTTTTATAAGTTTCCTTCAACAAAATCCTTAGCATTTGATCACAAAGCATTGAAATACAGGTATATTTGTACCTAATGTTAATTTGCATACTTTCATTATCATCAGCTAAAACATCAAATTATGGTATGGAAAATCTTTTTTAAATAACACAATCTTGGTCTAACATTATGTTTAACGATTTCATTTTTACTGTAGCTCATTAGGATACTTTAGAAGTGGTTGGGAAATAAGCAAATGTACAGGTCTATCAAAATAATTAGTAAGTAGGAAAAGATAAGAGGGAAAGCGGTGGGTACAGCTTGCGAGAGATAAGAAGAAAAAGAGTGAGATTACTGGAGGGGTTGACATGTGCACCTTGTGTGTAGGGTTGGGAAGCACGCTATCGTGACCTATGACCTTTCCATTGTAGCGTGACCTTGCAGACTGATAACTCTTGAGGCTAGTGGAGTGGATTGTTACAAATCAACCTCAGCTGGTTAATTAAACTCGTAATGCAAGAAAAATTCAAACAGTTGCATTAACATTCAAACACACCTATTTAAGTCCATTTGTGATTAGGGCCTAGTCACATAAAATTAGATTAGAAAGGTTGATGAATTATTTTTAGACACCGGTAGATTAGAAATAGTTTTAATCATTTTTAGAGTGGGGATTTAATTTGAGTAATTATGGTAGGAGGCATTGTAAATTAGACATACATTATTACGGATATTATTTTAAAGTCACCATACTTCGTGGACGATAGTCTGCTACAATCCTACAATACACCATTTGAAATAAATTACATTTTTTTGTTATTTACGTAAAACATATGGTTAATCTTTATCATTGGTTTCTTGTTGTATTTGTATGAGTGGTAAAATATACAGGGTGGAACGAAGTTAGTGATAATTTTTGTGTGTTCAACTACTTAGTAATGGTGACAAAATGGCACTAATTTAGATTACTATACCCTCACAGGTAGGAGAAGCAAGCAAATTAATATTTTTTTATATGTATTTGTATACATAAAATGGTTATAAGTGCACTGAAAAATTGTTTTTATTTAGACTTTGTTGTCATTTTCAAAATCCTGATTAAATTTCCAATAGTAATAGTACAGAGCCATTAAGATTAAACATCTGTATACGTCTTTATTCTGCAATGGAAGTTTGAATTTGTGATTTTTAAGAAAAATGCTAAAACTTTTACATACGCGTTTCTACGTTAAACTGGTTTTGTTAAAGTGTCAAATATTATTAAAAACTTGTTCAATTAATAACCTTTCATTCTAAATTCAAACTATTTTTAGTGCTCTTATGGTCATTTATGTATGTGCTCGCTAATTTATGTAAGCAAATACAAATATTTTGAAAAAATATTAATTTTCTGCCATTCCGTACCTGGGAGGGTATGGAAATCTAAAATAGTGCCATTTTGTCACCAATAACAAGTAGTTAAATAAAAATTGTTTAACACCTACTTCGTTCTATGCTGTATGTCACGTATCTGTCTTTGGTTATTTAAACACTTCTTATTACACAATACGGTTTCCTGCCAAATAAACTGTTAACACAGGTCATGATTTTTCAAAGAGGGATCTTAAGTAAGTTACTTACTAAGTACTTAGTACTACTACTAAGTAAGTACTTAGTTTGTGTGCAATATTAAATTCAGAGGTTTTACACTACACTACTCCTTTCTGTGAAACAGTGGTTGCAACAAACGCCACAGTTGTTTTCACATTTTTTAAATACAACAATGTGTAAAAATATTATTATAATTTAAAAAAGTGCTCATGTCTAGGACTCAATATGTAATTATTTACTCTTTTGCTGCCCTTCCCTTACCTATAACACAAACCTAAAACAAATGATCCAATTATTCAATTATAAGACGGTTTAGGCGTGTTATTTAATAGTTTTAGACCTTGGTTAAGGAATACTAAGTTTACAGTTATAGACATTTTTTCTAAATTCCCCAAAAGAATTATTTTATAAAAAAGTCTTGATCTATATTATGAGAGGATAAATCTAATCACTCATGTTACTTAACACCATTAAACACAAGAATAAATCAATAATCAATATAAATATATTATTATTAGTGCTTAGTAACTAAAACAATAACTGATTGTATTTTTGTGCTTTAGAAACAATAACAAATAAAGATTGTCGAAACGATAGTGAAACAAAGCAAAAACCATAAACAACACAATCGGTGGTTTTGAGGAATAACTGCAACGTAAAGATGCAACTTTGAATCCTTACAGCTGATTAAAAACCAAGTACTATTGAGAATTTGAATAAAATCGCTGTTCCGTTAACTAACCTTTTCATCCATCTCAACAACAGATGCTTTTGTTAAAGAATATTGCTCTCGACAAACTTTGTTAACCTTCAAGGCTTCTTGGAGGGCAACTCTTTTGAAAAGGGGTGAAATTATTCCTTTTTGTTGTTAATATATACAATACGTGATGCTATATGATGTACATACTACAGACTAATAAAAACTTAGAGGCTTCAATTGTATGATTAGTTCTTATGCAAATACTACCTAACTATAGAAAACATTGATATTACATAACAAGACATCAATAATATGAGTGTTTTAGTAAATAACTCGGTAATAATGACTAATGACTTGAATAGTACACTTGAAGAAACAATAAATATTTGTAATTGTCCAGTCAAGAAAATTTTAAACCTCTGAAAAATTACAAAAGTTTTGAAACTTTGCACACTTATTTCTAGGTACCTAAGGAAGATTATACCAAAATCGCCATAAATATGAAGCGAGCTCTTTGCAGCAGTTAGGGAAAACATGGCACTTTTTTCTTTTCTGCTAAAATCTTTGTTACCATCGGTCGGAGTTAAAAGTGGCTCTATGCCAAATAAAATGTCTTTAAAGTTTCCACAAAAATGATATTATTTTTACACTTTTATTTTATTCCTAATTTTTACCGAGTTATAGGGTGCTAAAATATGGTGTTTTTTCTCAGAGTGAGAACAATGGTGCAAACTCAAGTAGGCATTTCGTTTATACAAGCGCGAAATTTTAGCACCCTATAACTCAGAAACCATTAGAAATAAAATAAAAGTATAAATATAATTTTTCTTGAAAATTTAATGATCTTTCATTTGGCATATAGTCACTTTTAACTCCAACCGATGGTTCGCGAGATTTTAGCAGAAAATAACAAAAAGTGTCCTGTTTTCCTGAACTGCCGCTAGAACTCGCCTCATATTTATGGGGACTTTTGGTATAATCTTCCTTAGGTACCTAGAAATATGTGTGCAAAGTTTCATAACTTTGTTTTTTGTTGTTGTTTTTTTTTTGTTTTTTTTGGAAGTTGGGTCATAAATTTACATATTTTAACTTGACTATAATAGAAATTGAATGTGAGAATTGAAATTCACCAAAGCTAATTTTAAATTAACGGTACCCCTAGTATGTGCTTAAAAATCCAGCTGTAACATTCCCTGGTTTTGCTACAAAAGTATTTCAATATCAAACTATGCTGTTATTAACAGTTTGTGTCCGCGACCGGATGAAAGTTCCAAACGCAATGCAAAGAATGTTATGTGCAAGGCTCCAGTTGTATTAGGAGTATAAAAAATGTAAGTGTAATAGAAAGTTGTTTAGTATGCATATTTAAAGTATATAAGACTTTTTACCATTGTTATTCTCCAAAACATAAAATTATATTTGTTGCACATGGCAGAGTTAATTTGAAAATCCAAATTGTGCTCTTTGGTCTACAAACGAGGAGTAAAATTGTAGGCCTATTGAAGAACATTTTAGTTGCACCTTCAAGTGGGAGGTGCTTCGTATATTCAACAACACTTATAAATTCTAAGTTACGATTGGTTTTTTGCAGGCGTACTCATTAGGGAATTCAAACATTGACAATGAATATTCTTAGATAAAGTGATCGACGACTAACTGAATATTCAATAAGATATTCCCCTTATTTCCAAATTTCCCTATAGAGCTAGATCAATAGAGTAGCTATTACCATAGGTGGCAAGTTAAGGTATACAGACGGGACTTAGTTTGCGAACCAGCAATTTCTGGTATGGAAACAGGGTGTTGTGGGATTTTGAAATATTTCAAAAATTAATTTTCGCCCTTAAAATGTGGAAACTATAAGTAACTATATTATTACAA